GCTCCACTGCGGTCAGGTGGTGTCCCAGAAGATGACTGGGCTTGGCAGGTGCTAATGCTAGTGTCAAAAATTCATGGCAGAAACAGATTATATTTGTGGTCTGCTCAGACCCTGAGCTAAGCATGCTCTCGGTCAAGGCACTGTTAGAGGAAACAATGGAAACTCGGTGGAAACAATGCCTAAGCAAAGCCACCAGGTTTATTGATCCTACCTCCCCCAGAAGAAGGCAGTCTCTTTCTCAACCTCTTTAACTATGAATTCTTTGCTTAAACAAAATATTTCTGCTACAGGACTGGCTCCTTCATGCTGGGCTGCAGCCCGGTCCTGCTGCAGACAGGTCCAGGGGTAACGCAAGGTCTGCGGCCAAGCGTTGGCCAAACGGGAGGTGCCGCAGTGCCTGGCTGTGCATACACAGTTGGAGGTTCCTCTCCACTCACTTCCCATACTCTGTGGAACCATCAAGCAGTACCTCCTGGGGCCTGACAGTTTGTTTCCGGATTATTTAGTGGTAGTTGTTGTTGGCAACAAAAAAAGGAAAATGTTTATTTTTCCTAAGCAACGTGGAACATGAAACATTATGGACTGCAAATGTTTATGCCCACAGACAGAATGAGGAGACGCAGGCTCTGATGTAACAAGAGAAAGCAAATGAATAAACACTACAGGACTATTTTTATTATCAGACACTTTAATTATGTGAGAGTTTGTGAGTCTAGTCCATCAACAACACTGCAACCAAGCTGCTGGTGTCACCGAAGCAACAGTTTGCCAGAAACGGGAGTACTCACAAAGCAAACAAGCCCCGGGATTGCCAGGATAGCAAAAGGTTTCAAGAGCCCTATTGTGATGACCTAGAAATCCCCTTGAAACCAAGAAAACGCTCTAAGATGCAGCACACTCCAGGCCAAGGAGGAAGGGGGTTGAGATTGTTCATTGGGCAATTACATCCAAGTTAAGGTGAGCAATGAGTTATCAGTGCCCAGCCCAAGGACACCAGCCAGGACATCTCCTACTGGGTACGGCCACCTGGCACAGCGCAGCCCTCTTCAGAGCTGTGGGGGGATGTTCTGCCCTCAGTGAGTGCATGCTGCTCAGCTGTGCAAGCTGGGATCTCCAAATCCCCAAGACAACCACTGTCCCCCTGCCCAATCTCCTTGAGATGTCCTGGGGGATCTCCCCCTCCACTAATTTTCAGAGCGCCACTTTTGTGAGATAGTGATGCCTCTTTCCTGCCCAAATCCCACTAAGAGGAGGATGTCTGGTCACCTGTCTCTTCTTGTGGGTCTCATCTGCACCAGGATGTCAGCGAACCTCTAAAAACACAGCTGTGGCCCTCAGCGAACCCCTGAAGGGCTCCACTTTTCATTTTGCTGGACAGCTATGTGCAGACTCAGCAGTGCTTCCATTCACATTACAGGCTCAGCAGACCCTTGTGTAAGAATATCCAGGGAGCCCTTCATTTACCTGTCTGCATATTTGGGATTAGTAGGAATGAGCTGACAGGGTCTCTAGTGTGCAAAGTCTCTGCGGGACAATTTTTCTGTGGAAGATCCTTTTTCAAACAAGACCTACACAGTGCACCCTGCCTCTGCTGAGCCCCCCAAGTTGGTGCCAGGGCAGGGTATGCATGGGGGAAGCAAGCAAAGTGCAGTATGACCTGGAGTGGGGGGATCCTCCCCAAAGTGCTTCTCTCCTCCCTGCTCTCTTCTCCCTCCCTGGTCTGCTTTGCCAGCTGCACATCCCGAGTCTTGCCACACTGCAGACTGTGCATGTGTGTTGCATGTGAAAGTACAAACACAACAAACATGCTGGAGAATAACTGCTTACATGTGTCTTGAGTCTCTCACAGCAGAGGATAAACATGCCTAAAATTACCCCAACGCTCACTGCAGTATTTAAATCACCAAACAAAATGGTGCAAATCAAACCCTTCCTGCGGGAGCTGCCTGAGCCCCGAGTGAGGCAGGCGGCCTCCCTGGCTCCTGGGCTGCAGGCAAAGCAGCACTGTGCTTCCAGGGGGGAACCCACTGGGTTCAGGGCAAGAGCTGCAGGATGTGGCTCCCGAGGGATTACGCTGGCAGCTGGGAGGGTGCCCACCACTTCTGACGGACAGATAGTTTCCCAGCAAATGGACTGACTTTGATTTCCCAGGGGAGCCGAAAGCAATGCAGGAATTCAGTGTCTGCGTGTGCACTGCCCTGAGGACTGCAGATCTTTTGTTCTCAAGTTTTACAGTGGACACCAGACACAGCCTGTATTCTGCTCTCAGTTTTCTCTTTCTTTCTTTAGGTGCTAATATAAAAGTGAAGGAAATCTACAAGGTTTGCTAAAAAGAACACAACTCCTTCTGCTACTTGCCCTGTGTAGCCTGGCTTTAAAATGAATCTAAGCCCTTGATTCCCTTCCCCCTCAGTTACTGCTGTTGTGACTTGTTACTAGAGCACCGAACAGTCATGGTGCAGCATCCTTCGGTGCCTAGCACAGTCCTTGCCCACCCCATCTACTGGCACAGCTCGAGGAAGTCACCATCGTTTGTCTTGTAGGAGTGCGAGTCTCTCTCCTCATCCATCACCCGACAGCAAAAGGTGCCCCAGCAGGAAGTTAGCTGCCGTTAGACTTCGGGAAATTTCTCTTTGTGCGGAGAGACTCAAAGTAGCCAGAGAAGTGAACATGCAATGGTGTGACCGAGCTCTCTAGTAACAGAGGGTAGAAATGCATGCACGGGCCACTGTCAGCCCAGCAATCCCACTTCAGTCATTCTGCACTGACATACGTACCCCAACCGGGAGAGGAATGGGGTGCACTGCTGCAACTTAAGTTGTAAGGGAGAGCCAACCACCATGATGCTGGCTTTACCTGAGAGGCAGTAGAATAACCTTCAGAAGCCTTGACACCAGATAAGGAACCCCAAAGGGCAGCTATTTGGGATGAGAGAACTGCTGTTTCAAAGGATAGGAAAGCACCTGTCCATTTCCAACCCCAAACCAATGCAGCCACTATCTCTGCAAAGACTGGGTGAAATACATTGATCTGAAACCCTGTGGCTCCATGTGGCTCATCAAACACGCAAGCCCAAGGTGTTCCTGAACAAAACATACCTGTAGGAGCATCACCTGGCGTTGCTCCAGCCAAAAGGAAAGTATAAGCACTCGCGATGCAGAGCATAAACCTGGGATGAGGAAGAAACCGTCTCTGGGCAGCAGACTGCTAACTGGGGGGACCTGCTTCAGGAATGTGGTTGCGGATTAGATGGACCAGAAGCCTGAGCAGACCTGGACACATGCATTAACTCTGTGCTCGTCCAGCAGTTTGGTGTATTCCCCCAGCTCAAGGTGTACTGGCCAAAGCAGATGAGCCCCAGCAACCTCTGCAGTCAGTCAGCAGCTGCGAGTACCGGTAAAAGGAGATGAACAGTGCACGTCGCAGCTGGACTAGACCCAAGTTCAGATGGTGTGAAACCCAGGCTGGCTCTCCCTTCCCCGGGGATCCCGCACAGGTCCTTGCTGGCAGCAAGACCAGGACCAGAGGCTCTCCAAGTCCCTCCAGAAGCAGCAGCTTCTCAGCTTGCACACAGCAGAGTGCGAGGCACCCACCAGTCCAGCCAATGTCCCCGCAGAAACGAGAGGTCTCCAGCTTTAGGCAGGTCACTCCCAGCTCACCACTTGCTGCGTTCAGATGAGGATGAAATCTGCAGAGCGGTGTCACAACTGAGGTACAGGGTGCCACTGCCTGAGTGCTTGGCCTCACCTTCCTCCGAGGCAGAGCGGAGCCAAGTGCTGTGACATTTTGTTTGGAATAATACAACCACTTTGGGGGCCAAGGCTGCTCTGTGCCAAGTCCCAGCCCACAGCATATTTAGCAGCCAAGTTAGAAAGTACTCAGATGACAGAGCTGATAATAAAACCATCGGCAGAACCTGAACTAATCCCCTTGGGCTGCTACCGGGCATTTGCTCTGTCATTATTTTATGGCACACCAGCGAAGCGCATGTATATAATATCCCAATTACGCACGCACACATTCCCAGCACAAGGAGCTCTCTGTCCTCTCCCGTACCCCGAATCCCTCACATGCCGCAGCTCTTCTCTGGCAGCAGCCGTCCCCGCTGCTCGCAGCTCCATCCCAGGTGCTGGGATCTGGCAGGCATGTGCGGGAAGAAAGAGCCCTGCTGCTCCCCTCCTGCCTGCGCCTTTGATTCACCCCTTTAGTCTCGTCTCCCCCTAACACTTCTCGGGATTGCCAGCACAGCGTGCGAGGGGGGGAGTGGTATTAGCAGGCAGCGAGTGCTCCGCTGCCTTTAAAGGATGGGGGGGATCCCGTGTCCTCTCGTAAACCCTCCGTATCCCGCTCGCTGTTTATCCTTTGCCTGCTCCGCAGAAGGCAGCACGGCTGTGAAAACTCCCCGAACGTGCCAAGAGGCGGAGCGGGGGTGCCCGGGCAGGGGGCAGCCGGTGACTCCCGGCACCGCATCGCTGCCCGTG